AAAGCGATATGCATCACCCTCTGAACAACATGCATTGCAGCAAGGGTGTACAATCAAGAAGACCCTAATAATTCCCAGACCCAGAGGCCTACGATTTTTTGTTATTGAATAGAAGCAAAAATATATGAACATTAAGTGGGTTGTAATTTTTTTTTATACACCCTATATAGCCTCTTTGTCGACATTCATCGCAAGCAAAACAATGGCATATTATCCACGTAATTGATACCTCTGGGGGGTGCTAAGTTCTAAATAAAACTGCCCCATGCAGTTCTATTTAATTTTCTCTACCGTGGATGCGTTAATTAGTATGTTTCATTGCTGGTTCTCAGATATACAGATGGTGGTGGGGAAACGGTACGTGTTTTCCTATTAGACTTCATGATCAGTAAGGCATTTGATAGAATTCACCATCAAATCCTTTTAAAGAAAATGCAATTACTTGGGATAAATGACTCTATACTAAACTGGATCATTGACTTTCTTATGCAAAGAAAACAAAGAGTAAAATTGGGTTCGATACTATCTGATTAGAAATTAGTAAATGGTGGTGTACTGCAAGGCACAATACTTGGCGCGCTCCTTTTTCTTTTCATTGTCGATGACTTGGCAATTACTCATAAAAATCCATCGGGAAATGTGTCGAAGAAAGGTAAAAGAAGGTAAGAAAGGTAAAGAAAGTCATCTACAAATGGTCATTGATGATATAAAGAAATGGTGTATTGAGAACGACATGGTACTTAATCATAACAAATGTAAAGAGTTGATAATCTCATTTGCTAAAGAGACCCCGGATCTCCCGGATTGGAGAACATTGTATATCCCGGGTTCCATCGGCAAAAGTCCTTGGTCTTCTCCTGTCATCAGATCTTCATTGGAATTTACATATTGAATATATCGTGGCCAAGGCATCAAAGAGACTTTACTTTCTCCGCGTACTTAGACGAAGCGGAGTGAGCGAATCCTTCTTAATTCAAGTGTTTTTTACATGCATAAGACCCGTTCTTGAATACTCATGTCAAGTGTGGAACTTTGGCCCCCCCAGATTACTTAAAAGAGGAGATAGAAAGAATCTAAAAACGGGCCTTGAGACTAATATTTCTTGATCATCATGTCCACCTAATTGACTGTAAAACTAGTTGTTATAGAAACTCTTTTTTACCTAGCCAATAATGACTCATTAAAGTAGTTTTTAGAATTTTATGGTTTTTATGAATTAGTTATGGACTGTCTGTTTCGTACTTTTCTAAATACTTTTCCTATTATTGTCATAAATTTCTATATTTACTATGTCATTGCATATTGGGTATTTTTATTGTAAATAATTCAATTCAATCTTTCGCTGCCTTATTGCAACAGCAATTGCATAATAACTCCCTTCCTGTTATTCAACGTTAAGTTGAAAGGCATAAGATTGCCACTCGCGTCACTTCAATATTGCAACGATTTTACTACACTTAGACGTCGTATAGAATATAGTTGTAGTATTGTATACTTCACCGATGCATGTCTAAAATGGCGCGGATTTTTTGGATGAAAAAATCTGGGCGTTATTTTAGCGAATTTGTCATCGTTACGGCTGCAATAAAATTATATTATGTCACTTCAAGTTTGACAGGACTTACTCTCTCTTGAAACGACTTGGTGTTTTAAATCGCAATGCATGTGTGTCTCCTGTTATCTCGCGTGTAATAATTCATGCCTTTAAATTGTTGATAAAAATAAAATTGCATACATGCACAGAAAGAACAAATCTAGTCTAGATTAAGACATGCAGCACTAAATCCATTTAGGTGATAGCTACTAACAGAAATGTGGAATGCATTGAAAAATTCCAAATCGCAATGAAAAAATTCTTAGACCGATATACTGCTAAATATACTCTAAATCTAAGTAACTGAAATACCCTAGACTTCGTTCATCACCGGTTTGCAACGAAGAAATCACAATTTCACTTCCTTTTTTCGCCGCTAAGCTGAAAGGTGTAAGATTTTTACACGTGTCACTTTAATATTGCAATAGAGTATTTCAATTTGTACGCTATTGTTCACCTCGTGTTGAGATGACCTAAAAATTTTCTTTTTCTATTCATATTTACAACTTTCACTTTGTTTGTGGTCGATTTTGAACTGAATTGACAATAGTTTGGCGCCATTTTCACACAATTGCCGCCTGTAGCTAACTTGAAAATTGAAATCCCTTGAAATAGCAAACTCATTTAATTATCCTCTGCAAACGCTGAATTTCAAATATATGCGAATAAACGAAAAATGCCTTGTCTTTTTGTTTTTGTCGGATGTTGCCAACAATTTAATACAAAAGAGGCAAACGGTGATAAATTGTGGTTTCGAATGCTGAATCAATATCTGCGTCTATTATTTTTGTAACTGATAATTTCTTGCCAGGATATTAGCTCTTAAGTCTACTATGACTGTGAACTTATTGAAGGAAATCAGTTTATAATTATGCATTTTGCTTTTGAAACCAAAATAACAATGTATATACCTCGGTACCTCATTGTTCGCGCTCTAACTACGCATACCGGAGCACGCTTATACAGAAGCGACGGATTTCGAGCAAATGATTTAAAAATGAAACGCCGTTCTAAAATTGACTCAGATCTGAACATAATATCACACATTCAGATTGTGAATAAAGTCATACGCAGAATGGCAATTAATATAATATTGTAGAACAAACTAGAACTAAATAGATAAAGTTACTACAATTAGGTGTCATTTTTCATTATAAATTTCTAAATTATTCGCGTTATAAAGTTTTCGATACACTGACTTTCAATAGAATCAGCAATATCCATGTAGTGCATCGATCAGTAATGTTAGCTCTATGTAAAACGTCTCTTACCAATCTCGCTTCTTATCCCCTTTTATATTTTATATATTTTACCTGCTCAAAAATAGAGATTTGGACTTCAGAAATAAACTATTTTTCAAACTTCGAGTCCCCCATGGAAAGTTGGGGATATTTTTTTTACTGCTCTTTGTAACAATATAATATTCAAAATAGGTGGTGTGTGGCTGAGTAGTTTATGCAATACGCAAATTACAAGAGTCCTTGCATGAAACGCGATCATGATACAGGCGTTTGTTTGCAAACCATCTTGGCTACTTTTGGCAGTGCCTCCCTTGAAGCACTCTGTACCACGCCCACCAGAGCACACTTATACAGAAACGACTGAATTTTAAACTCAATTTTTCATGATAAATTTCTAAAGCATCGAGTGGAAATTTTTTTGCGATCAGCAATATATCGATACATGCACTGACTTTCAATACTATATTATTTTAAACGACGTGTTATTCCCACTAAGTGCATGCCTGAGTGCTTTATGCACAATTACAAGGGTCCTTGAAACACTGTCTTCATATGAGCGTTTGCTTGATTTGTTCAATTGTTAGTAACTGATGTGTTTTAGTGCAACAGCTGTAGAGCAATATTAGGCTACACTCGAGCCCTAAACCTGAGTAAGATATCTCTCTTTTTCATAACACAATACATTGCGTCCTGACAAAAGCGATAAGAATCACGCTCTGAACTATAGTCTAGGTTCTTTGTCGACATTTATTATCAATGTCATGCTATTCACGGATTTGATATCGATACCTTTGCGAGAAAAAAATTAAGATTTACAGCAAAGATAAAGCGCTAGGTTACAGAAGTTTTGTTTCTCTAAAGAGGGTGGTGATATATCTTCATGCATCTCGCTTTATTATTTTCTCTTGCAATTAGTCATGCCTTTGGTGGCAAAAATAGGATAAGTAATTTAGCTTCTAAGTACACCACGTAATAAATGAATCGTTCGTAAAAAAAATCATCGGTTGCCTGCAACGGCAAATTGCATAATTTTACATCCTAATTTTCGCCGCGAAGCTGAAAGGCATAGGTCGTATGTCACTCTAATATTGCTGCTGGCTAGTAACCTCAGACCTCTTAATAAAGTACTTCAATTAATACTATTGTTCACCTCGTGTTGAAATCAGCTAAAAATTATCTTTTTCAATTCAGGTTTCCTTCAGGTCGATTTTGAACTTATTTAACAATCGTTTGATGTGATTTACCTGCAAACAGTATTCCGCCCAAATTTACCGATAATTGTGTGAAATAGCAAACTCATTTTATACTTATCACGTTTGACCCTGATTCACATACATCACATATAAAATTGCTAAAAGGCGCATTCACTGCTTACGAAAAGTCGTATAAGACTCATGCAGCATGACGTATGTTGGCGAAAAATGCGTGTGAAATAAATTAAATAGTATAAATTAGCATTAGCATCATTTAGCGACAAAGAATTAAAATGTTAGTTTATAGCCAATATCATACACGAAAAACGTGGATTTCAAAGCTATGATCGTATAAGAAAGAGTTCATGTATATTAATTGAAGCTCATTTTAGCGCGCAGTTGTAGTACAAAAGCATGATCCGATCAAAGTTAAACGGCTGTTCAAAACTAGAGAGACTCTAGCGATGCAAATTTTGATGTAAAAAGAACAAAAATTCAAATCTATATAAGAGCCTAAAATAAGTGAAGCTGCCATTTTTTTTATGAGAACATGCTCTAAGACGTGAAAAATAAACAGTTTTACACCGTGAAAATCCATGTAAAGTTTCAGATTGCTTTGCGGCGCAAGTTCGACTGCCGCTTTAAAATTCCCATAGCCCAAAAAAGCGAAAACTGTAAGATCAAACTCCTGAGCACTTCTTTGCGGTTTTCCGCTCTTATAATATTTCTTCGCTTATATCAAGTGCGACCCTAAAATTCTAATGAATTCAAGTGCGTTTTCAGAGCCTGCTAATTGCGAAACAACAGCGCACGTTGTGGTGTGTCAACGGGAAATAACGGTCTTCTTATCAATATTCATGTCGGAGCATGCGCGAACCGTATAAAAGTGCCGTGGTTACAGCTGTTTTCCATTCGACGAGAGAAGCGCCTGAAGAAGAGTTCTCCCTGAAGACTGAAAAACAGAAGACTTGAAGTGACTGAAAAATTGAAGACTAAATGTTGATGATGAAGTTACAGTGGTTGATAGTATTGACGCTGTTTGTTCACAATGCCTGGGCTTACAGTCTGTATGACGAGCTTGATGGTATGTTATGTCACAAGTTTTCAAACCACAACCCATTTCAAATCGAAAATTGAATATTCAAAGTTACTAAGCCATTGAAGATGACATATTTCAGGGGTGCACTTTAAAATTGCAGACTTTGTTGTTTGGTCGCATTTCGTTTCACCAATTCGTAATATTTGAGATGGTTCAGCATCAAATTTTTGTAGTAATATGCTTCTTCCAGTGGGCGGATGAATCGTGTTAATCGTCCGCAGCCTCAACGACTGGTAAATGCCAATGCGATATCGAATTATAACAAGATTCAATTTCTTTACAGATGACAATCTTTGGCGACGCGAGACCCCAAGCACAGAGAACGAAGGCAAGCCAGGTAAATTTGAAAGTTTTGCAGAGTTAATATTTTATTACAGAACTAATCCTGTATCTTTATGCTCATAAAATAGATCGATTCGGTCCGTTAAAATTTGTTTATATCAGCCACTTCATGCCGAGTGTTAAAAAAATACACATAATTTTGGATAGAAAAACATCGCGAACCTGCCTAAAAACGGAATTATACATTACCACAGAAGCATAAAAATTTCCTCCCTATCTTTAAAACTAGATTAATCCCTCACGACTTCATAGGTACGTTTTCAAACGGTAAGTTGTACTACATGTATATTTTAAACGGTAAATTGATGGAATGCAGTGCTGTGCTTTTTTGAACACAATATAATATGTTGGATTGCGTTCGGTGGCGTTCGAGAGATGAAATGGGGATTTTGTTAGAAGAAACATTTGAAATATTTAGCTGCCTCCCATTATTATTATCAAAAAAACGGACAATTATAGAAATCCCGCTTTTCAAAATGACGTGCACAGAGGGCAACGGAATATATTGTATCTTTCAAAATTTTAGAATGCAAAAAAGATATTCTTGTTTTGTGGGACAACTCCAATAGCATTAGCCCACATTACGAAGATGTGTTCAAATTCATGAAGAAACTTATCAGAAATAAAGATTTGAACGTGGGAGAAGATGGCACGCACCTTGGCTTCATCACATTCTCCGATGGACAAAGTTTAGATCTACGCAGAAAAGAGCGGACTAAAGATAAAAAAAATCATACAAGAGTACTGTTGAAAGTTGGCGAAATTACAGATCCGGAAAAGATTATAGATAACCTGTCGGGTTACGATTATGACAAGGACAACAAAAACCAAGCAGTTCGAACACAGCTATTTCATTAGAACGTGTAGGTTATGGAACAGTTTACCAACCTCAGTAAAGGAAGTAAAATCACCACGTATTTTTAAGAATCTTTTGAAGCAAAAGTATTTCTTGGGTGTGCGTCATGTTTTTGATGTGGATGTCTTTTGTACGTGGCGTTCTATTTGTCTTAAATGTAACTCTATACGTAATCTTTCTTCAGATAACCTCAGACTATGTTGTTAATCGTCTGAATCCACGTTTGTATTGTGTGTATATCTTGTCCAAATTTGTAAATAGTTATATATGTTAACCTTGTAGCTATTGGGAGAATGCCTTGGTTAGGGTTGTGCTCTGTCGCAATCTCCCTTGTTGTCAAGTGTAATATTTAGACTTAACAACTGAAATAAAGTATAAAATTTAAGTGGCGAACAGACCTACACTGGCAGTGCATTCATGCTCGCAGAGGAGGTAAGTAGAATCCTTTCACAAATTCACATGCAGACTATAAGGTTGGGTAATAGCTATGCATCTCGTGAAATCATTATTTCCAAAAGGTGACATCCAAGATGGATGGACTGAATTTTGCTTTGATTATTCTTTTCAAGGAATTTAATGAAAAGAGCCCAAAGAATCATCGCGATGGGATTGACGACATTATTTTGTTGTTCACCGACGGAAGACCGAATCCTGACTTTACTACGGAAGAACACAAGGACAGAAAGAATAAGAAAGCAGATCAAACGAAACCTGCTGACAAAGCTTCAAAAACCCTAAAAGAGAATAATGTTACTATTATCGGTTTGGCTGGAGGCAAGGAAGAAAATATCAGAGACTTTCGATCTTACATTAAGAGATGGTCATCACCTAACCAAGTATTTGAATCAAAGTTGGATGAATTACCCAACCTTATAGATCAATTAGTAGAAGATTTCTGTAAAACCGGTAAGTATAGTGCTACACGCATTTGCGATGGCATTATTCGAAACAATTATATAGCACACAGCCTATATAGATCCTAATCGAATATCATGACGAGCGATTGTTGGGAAGCTTGTTTTTAAGTTTGGGGGGATTTTAACTAGCTCTTATAAAAAAACTTCATATACAATTTTTACATGTCAAGCGAATGTATATTTTATCTCTATACCAGAAAATTAAATTTCTTCCCCACTTTTGAGGGATAGCATTGTCCCCTTACAAGACCATTTCACTTACAAATGGCTGCAAATTACAGGAACAAAACCATGCGGATGCGAGGGTAACTCTTCAACAGTCCAATATGTCCAGGATTCAGAAAGTAAGCTTTTTATCAACTGGAAAAAACCAAGCTTAAATTGCGGAGATGGTGTTTTTGTTCCAGAGCCCAAGGTACACCCCGAAGGTACCGAGTCCCCCAAGGAATTTGGTATAGGGAGACACGAGATCACGTATACATTTTCGCCCTCTTCAGGCGGTAAAAATCGTCCTAGTGTGGAGTGTTCTGTCGGCGTGAATATTGACCGTAAGTAAGCATGATTTTAAGTCTGAATGAATGCATCTCTATTCGCAGCATAAATTCAAAATAAAACGAGCTCTTTCATTGCGTAATATTATATGCACAAAAATAAATGTACAAGCGCTGGATATGAGCGAATGTGCAATCTGATTGGCTCTATACTCGACAGATATTAACGCATATGTGGTAACAAATAGGAACAAGCGATCCAAATAAATAAGAGCTTTACAGCATCAAGTCCGGTGTATGAAATTTAAAATTCTCCGGTTAGCAATTATAACTAAGCCTATTTGATCCCATTATTTTAATCGGTCGCAAAGACGCGTTTTTAACTGTTACAATTATTGTTCAAAAATTTTGATTTCAACGCAATTAAACTTTCCTTAAATTACCTCAGTGTCTCGTTCATAGTACATGACGTATAGTTTGAACTATTTTGTTATTCAATTTTGAAAAAGTATGTTTGCTTAATAATTAAATGCTTACGAATAAATTTTCCACAGCGCGTATTATACGACTTTGGTTAGAAGAATAACAAACTATATTCATTGCCTGCGGCCTCGTTTATCATATTAGCGAGTTTAAGATGCACCAAACTGCGACTAGTTTTAGGAACCCAGTATTATATATAGTTTGTTTTACATAGAACTCTGACTTGGTTGATGAAAAGGAGTCTAGAACTTCCATCCCTGTTGGCAAACTGTATCAATTTTTTTCAAATTAGAGCAGTATTACTTCACGCCGCGTTGTAATTTGGTGAATGTTAGGGCCTTTCAAACGTTGAACTTTTCATGAGTCGAATCTAATGTTAATGAGCTAAAGTCTTTGTTTAAGTTCATTTGCATTCTATTCGGTGCAACAAAAGTTCGGCGTCTGAGATGAGCCTTAAGCCCACTAATTAGAGTTCCAGCGGAAGTAAACTCATCAAACTTAAGAACAATTCAATTCAATGGCGAATTCGTACCACACAAGACATTTGATGAGTCGTGAGTCAATACATGATTTGTTTTCAACTTTAGTGTGCTTCTGTCCATCTCCTCGAGTAGTCAGTGCAGTGATCCCATTAGGTGACTCAAGGGCTTTCGCAGAATGGTCAGAACCCACACCCCTGGGGGAGTGTAAGTTTGTACCAAGCCCATTCAACCCACAATCCAGTGGCTGGTTCCGTGCCGGCAGACATGAGCTCACCTACGATTACACACACACCACCGAACTGCACAGTTATACAATGCATTGTCCTGTCACAATTTATGTCAAAGGTATGTTGGTAGACACGCTTCATATCAGAATTTTTGTACTTTGGTTCCTACATACACAGAAAATTTATTTTAAAAATCCATATGATGGAAAGTTTATCGATGATTGTTCAAAAAAGTATGGATTTTTTAATACCCATACTTAATATCCATGCCGTTAAATGAGAATTGCATTTTTTGGTACGAATAAATGTTGAGCTCGTTCTTAAGTAAAATGCATAGTAAATAACTCATTTCAGTACAAATTTGAAGAGTTCATATACATACTTTCACATGTCAAACGAATGCATACTTTGTCTCTACGGGAATTAAATTTGTTCCCCACTTTTGAGGGATAGTGTAGTCTCCAATACAAGACCATTTCACTCACAAAAGGCTGCACTTTCCAGAAACAAAACCATGCGTGTGCGAGGGTACCTCTTCAACAGTCCAGTATGTCCAGGATTCAGAAAGCAAGGTTTTGATCAACTGGGAAAAACCAAGGTTAAATTGCGGAGATGGTGTTGTTGTTCCTGAGCCCAAGGTACACCCCGAACGTGCCGAGTCCCCCATGGAATTTGGTCCAGGGAGATACAAGATCACGTATAAATTTTCGCCCTCTTCAGGCGGTAAAAAACGTCCTAGTGTGGAGTGTTCTGTTGGCGTGAATATTGACCGTAAGTTAGCACGATTTTAAGTCAGAATGCATGGATCTCTATTCGCAACATAGGCGTAGGCATGAATTCTAAATAAAGCGAGCTCTTTCATTGCGTTTAAAATTCCAAAACCATAAACATTATATATACACAAATGTACAAGCGCTGGATATGAGCTAATGTGCACTCTAATTGGCTCTTTACTCGACAGATATTAGTTCATATCTGTCTTGGCAGCAAACGAAAACAAGCAATGCAAATTCCAAATCAATCAAAAATAGAAAAAAGCTTCACTGCATCAAGTCCGGTGAATTCAAAATTGTCCGAATAACATTTATAACTAAACCTACTGATTGATTCCATTCTTTTGATCTCTCGCAAAGACGCATTTTTAACTGTTACAAATTGTTCAAAAACTTTGATTTCAACGCAATTGTACTTACCTCAGTGTCTCAATTCAATTCAATTCAATTCAATTCAATTCAATTCAATTCAATTCAATTCAATTCAATTCAATTCAATGGCAAATTCGTACCTTGCAAGACATTCAATGTGTCGTGAATCAACACTAGATTTTTTTTAACTTTAGTCTGCTTCTGTCCCTCTCCTCAAGTAGTCAATGTTGAGGTCACACCCGGTGAATCCACAGCTTTCGCAAAATGGTCAGAACCCACACCCCTGGGGGATTGCGAGTTTGTACCAAGCCCATCCAACCCACGAGAACCCAGTGGCCGGTTCCGTGCCGGCAGACATGAGCTCACCTACGCTTACAAACATACAACCGAAATGCACAGTTATACAATGCATTGTCCTGTCACCATTTATGTCAAAGGTATGTTGGGAGACACGCTTCATATCAGAATTTTTGTACTTTGGTTCACACATGCACAGAAAATTTATTGTCAAAATCCATAAAAAATATCGATGCTAGTAGAATATCCATACTAATTACCATTATATATTACCATTTTTTTATGTATAGGGTAATTAGTATGGATATTGTACTAGCATCGATATTTTTTATGGATTTTGACAATAAATTTTCTGTGCATGGATGTATGTTTATGAAATAGTATATTGGAAGAAACATTTATAATCATAGGGATATAGATAATTATTTCGGACACGTGACCGAGAAACGTTTGAGATACGTTGGCACCGCAATATGTCGTCTTCGTTTTTAATACATGTTTGTATAATTATTAAGTGAAATAAACCACCAAAGTTAACAGATATAGTGTGGAAACAGTACGGGCATAGCATATTTCCATAGTAATTTTAAAAAAGAATTATCAGTCACAATTGACCCCCAGCTGTTCTTTTTTCATTTGGGGTAAGATTTTAGGCAGTTTTTTTGCAGAATTCAGACCTATTTATCGCCTGAGATTTATCGTATGGTATTAGAACTTAAAAAAATCTATGTCCTTCAGCTCCCATGTTCAACACATCGAAATAAGTCATGTTATACTATACACAAGCTTTGTATTTTTACTCTTGTTTCTGGCTAAGATAATAGACCTTTCTTATAATGACATCAAACGCGGAAAGTCTGATGTTGCACGAAATTTGATTAGCTCCACAAATCTATCGAGCCAATCAAACATTGTGTAGCATGATATACTTTCCGCGTTTGACGTCATTATAAGAAAGGTCTATTAGTTAGGTGCATCATTTGAAAGAAATTCTCATTTCAACGTCGAAAGGATAACAGGTCAGATTCTTCTTTGCTGCGCGGCTTTAGTCTTGGAAGCACAGAATGTAACGAATATGAAAATGGAGAACTTCGTCAACTAATCGGCAAATTTGTTTACTTTCTCAGGCAAAGCCAATCAGAATGCCTAAATTTTTATTACTTCATGTTAAATGGTGAATAGTTCATCTTCCTACCGGATATAATCAAAATTAATGCATTCAGATTGGGTTATTGAAAATTTAAACAAGCTTTCTGATAGGTCTAAAACTAAATCCCCGCTTTGTTAAACGAATATCTCCTATTTTCTTAGGGCAGTTCTGCGGTGCGATTGCTTTTAATCCGGAGACACAGATTTGTTGCTGCGGTAAAGTTAGGGAGATTGCGTTTGGAGACATGTGTTGTGGCCAAGAAAACTACGTCCTACATGAAAAAACGTGCTGTCCAGGTGACAAACTCGTACTCAATGAAGAAGAGTGTTCTTGAGATTGCGCATATTCTTGCAACCTGTAAAGGACCTTGCGGGTTATATTTTACTAGAAAATAGCATTAGTATGTTATTTTAATGCATTGGTGATATGTTATGGGTATATATAGACATCGTAGTATTTTGGTATTCAATATTAGGAAATTTATTCCTATACTTGCTTGTTACATTGTACTATAGAAAATAGCATTAGTATGAGGACTGCGCATATGAATGGTGATATATTATGGGTAGACATCGTATTTTGTATTCAATCTTAATAAATTGCTCTTTTTCATTTCATCAAATATATTCGTATACCAGCTTCACTGTGTGTTCTTCCCATTCATTTATAACAGTAAATAATTTTTATGCTAGAAATGTATGAATCGCGCCTTGCAATATAATTACAATTGGGTCGAAACCGTTGATCGTGTAACTCTGCAAATACTTTGCCACACAGCTTACATCGTTAACTTTCCAGCAAAAATCCATGTATGCTAACCTCCTAACTACAGCTATATTTATTCTAAAACGACACGACTAGCATGAATTTATGTATGCCTTACCTTTAACTTACCGAACAACGCTGTTTACTTCCATCGTCATTGGCATTGTCAATGGCAAAGGTTGTCGCTCGAATGGGTATTTTCGCTTTGTCTTTCAATTATGTGCTTCTATTCACCGCAACGGTTTGGCACATTCAACTTGGACCGGTTATAAAATTTAAAAAACCCGACTAGATGAGCAGCAAACCTGTCAACAACTTATACTTTGACTTCGCCTCGTGAAAAAACATTGTTGCTCTTCGCGCTAGGTACTTCATGTCATAATAATATATTTGAACAAATTTTATCACTCGTATTTTAACTAATACGTAAAATAACAATAAACAATGATAAATATGCTACGTTACTTAGTTCCACAAAGGAGCACTATTTTTTGTTTGGAAGAGTTGAGATGGACTCTTCATAGCCGGCTAACACGGCTTCATACAGACCTAAAGCAGGCAAAAGATGCAAAGAATGATGTTGATTGTTGCATTGTCATACCGTCATCATTTTTAGGGAGATATAAATCTTCTACAGGCATGGCTGATTCTCCACGTCAACGTTAGGAATATTTTTACGCTTTTAGTTTTGTTTCATGGATCTTAACTGCAATAATCTAAAAAAACCATAGCCCGAGGACTGAAGGAAGAGGCCTAAAGAAAACGTAGCCATTATCAGCTACGCTATGCCGCTGCACTGCCACTGGTAAATAACTTTTGTTGTCCTACTGTGTTTGTTGTTTAGAGGTTATTTACACGCGCCTGGGTTGATGTTAACAGCCTCTCGACACAGTATTCGGCAACGGTAACGTTTTTAGGCGGTTTCATTTATGTATCCCCGCCAAAACGGTGTAGACAGCATGCATCAAATATGGGATAGAGGTTACTCAGGTTAGAGATAATTTATTATATTATCATTGAGCATTTTACCTCCTTAGATCATGTAAAAAGAGCGATAAAACCACTAACGAGACACTGCACTTTGTCGAATCTTCTGACATATGAAATGGCTTTAAATAGTTGATTTGCTGCCCATATACTTTGCAAGTCAACAGACTATAAAAATAAAACATTCATTAGAAGTAAATTGGATTCGACAAAATTGGATCGTGTGAACACTTAATAACATCGTGAAACTAACGTTTTTACTCCCGTCTTGAATGATAGAAATGATATCAAAATTTGTTACCTCTCTTATTGCGTTGATAAATGCAGATTTTCCAGCACCACTATCTCCTGCTACACCAAAACCCATTTTCGTATCTTTTAATCGTAAAGATTATTCTTGTCAAATTCCTCAATATTTGCAACGTTTCTTTCTTTCACCAAGATATAGCTCCGTTAAATCTGTTGTGATGTCTAAAAAATGACATAATTATTAAAATCATATAAACTATTGTAATTAAGAACTGTAATGATGGATGCAGAGAGAGTATGAGTAAGAGTTTACTTCCCACACCCCGTTCACACGATGCCAGAAAAGTTTAACAAAGGCGCGAACCTCCTACGATTCCGTCACGGCAAAATGCTAAACCGCAACGAAGTCCTACCGTCGGAGTACCTTGCAAACGTCAAACAATTTTGACGTGATTTTCAATCAGTGAAAGTTGCTCTTGGATACAAATCTGTCTATTTTAACAGGCCTGTGTAGCGTATCGTGAATAATCTCGTATTTTACAGTAATTTATGGGAAAAAAAAATAACGGAAAGCCGGAAAAGGACATTGAACATGACAGACAAGAGGTGTGACGTTTAGCGTCCGCAATCACAAACCAGCGGTTTTATACACTCATTAGATATGCAAACAAATATGGCGGCTCATTTAAAAAGATAAATCGTGTTTCATACGAAATTATAAATTAATTCAGTAGGGCAGTCTTTCTTTCTGATGCTACGAAGATAAAAGCAAAACTTGAAGTTTACGGTGATCGCACGTAAATGGGGGAAAAGGTAAAATGTGACAAAAATAGCAGCCTGCAGCACATAAAAATTGCTATTCCTATAGTTAAAGAAATTTGCAAACGGTTTGACGGTTCCCTGTAGAATATATCTGTTCCTTTCAGAAATTGCCGACAAACCTTTAATGTTAATGAAGCAATTTCGACTTCTCTTGATAAATTTGTGCACAAGGGGAAAGGTTTCTTTCATATAATTTTATTGTCAGATTCGAATGCAATCGATATATTGACATTATTGTATGATGTATAAATGCCAAGCTCGTAAGTAGATTATACTTGTTAAATTGCCTTTAGAGTCAATGGATTGCTGAACCAGGAATGAAAATGGAATGAAAAAGAAGAAAAGGGATTTGAGGCCAGTTGATACGCGGTATTTAAGAAAGTTTTATATTCTATCATTGTATCACGTCATTTATTGCTCAATGGACAATTTATTTTGTGGAATTTTATACCTCATATTCAAATTGCTGGATGAGGAAGCTAGGTATCTGCCACGGAATTAGTAAAATTCCTGGCGGTATCTCGCTTAGGGCATTCGTATTTGCTGCAACGGTTTTTTTTTATATTCACCGGTAAATGCCACTTATATGGTGAATATGAATAAATACCACTTAAATGGTGAATATGAATCGTGAGCATCGCGCCAGACTACACGAGGGATAAAAATGATAAAAATTGAGAGAGCAATGTTGCTGTTTGCTTGAAATCAAGAAATGACCGATTTTGAGAGGGAAATGAACTGTATTCTTGACGAAAATATTTGGTCGAAATATTTCGACAAAATATTTCGCCAAATTCCTCCCATTCTGGGTCAATGAATGAGAAATATATATAAAATTTTACCCCTATTACTGTTAATAGGGAGATTTAGCAAGAGGACGTGAACGTCAAAGACGACGTGAAAGTGGCGAGTAAATGGCAAGGCATGTCCATATTTGGGCGCATCACGCCATTTATTCGTCCTTGTGCTAAGTCGCCCTAATGGTCCTACAACGCCTACAATGGTCCTACAACGTTGACAATGCTTCTAGATGAGGCATTTTTTCATCGATGATATGAAAGCAGCTGTAAGGCGAGTGCTCATTTGTAACGTATCCCGGGAATGGCAATATAAACTAAACATTGGAGTTTTTACTGCTTTTAAAACATTTGCAAGAAAGCAGCAAAATAGCAAAATTCTCGTTAGCCTATTTGAAGGATGAATTGTAGACGCCACGTCAAACAGACTGTGACGTAGATGGTATATTTCCTTTGCTTGTAAATGCAGCGCTCGCAGCCCTCAAAAATCGCGAATATTCTAATTCCACGTCATGTACGCAATGGTTTTCTTCCTTACATAACGATGTGGAGAAACGTACCTCTAATGGGAAAAGGAAAAAATCCCATCCGTATGGTTCGTAGTTACTGATACCGAGATTGCCTTTTGTTCCAGGACATAATTCTGAATCTTTCACAAAAACTCTTCTTCTCTAAAATCACTTTTTCTCTTTACCCGCATTGATTCGATTTCAAATTTAGTACGAATGAGAAAAAATATTTGCCAGCAGCTTTTATACTTTCTCTAATAATGCAGCTCCCAGGTCAAGTTGTGTTACTCTGTGTGCAATAAAACTTAGAAAATGGTAAAATTTTACCAATTCTGATTCCACAACATCAACTGTGGCTGCATAGTCATCTTCATTATCAATACTACAGAAATATAAATTGTAAGAAAATCTTATATAGAACCTCCATTCAATCAAAACCGGATCTATACAAAAGCCATTTATATAAAAAACTAACACTAAAAGAATGCACTTATTTCTGGTATCATTATTTCTATTATCATTAAAATTTAATACTTTGCTGTTAAAATTGTTTACAATCATCACTAGTTAAATCAGTGAAAACCATATTCATATTCTGTTTCCGCGTCAGCCATACAATTACACACTGATATCACTGTGTAACAAATATGTACGCTGTTGCACCTATTTTTATACGTGGTTCTACACGAGGGTCGATGATATGGGTAATTTGACTCGTTGTATAATTCGGCTTGTTAGAAAGTTTCGATCGATGGTATTATAAAAGCGGTAGTAAACATTTAACCAATGATTTGGAATCCTCGGGAAAAAGTTTTCTGAGCTATATATCAGACTAGGGTAAAATAGAGTAGAGCCTTTGCTGAAAATACTGTAACGCTGCTTGGAGGTTTGTGGGTATCTCGTTTGTTTTATTCCTAGCCCTATCGAAGTAGCCCTTGAAACCTTTATTGTACCCTGAAGTAATCCTTGGTTCTGGTTTTTGAACGAGCATTTCAGAAGAATGACGTTGTTGCTTACTTGTGTGAGATATAAATTTTTACAAGTATTATTGTCTGGGTGTCTCAATGTGATTTATGGAAACCCTCGTTCCTCTCTTGGAAAATGTGGTCAAATCTTCTAATATGATAAAGATAGGAGGTTTATAAGGCCCAACTTACTCAGAGTAATTTATATTCGTTATAATGGCATGAGGGTTTTGGTGAAGAAGAGGAAATATATTTCTTACCCTCTCACAGCGTTGACAAAGGCAGACTTCCCGCAGCCACATGATCCAACTAAGGGCAAACGAACAAAATTGTTTGCTCCTGGAGTCCTTTCTAAACTGTTATTTATCCAATCTACTTATATTCATAGACTTCCACAACACAGCTCTCGTAACATCACTAATTTCTCTTTAATTTTGTAATAAACGTTCAGTTGCATGTTTGTTGATACATAAAAACGCATCACCCGTAACCTCTCGAATTCAATTCTTATGCTAATCAGTTCCCGGAATTAAAATAAATTTATTTCATCATTCAACGTCTCATGATGAAATATCGAACTCGCTGTTTTTTGTGCAGTCTTTTAACACTTAAACTATGTTCATCAATCTATCCATCTATCATCTATCTTAAAATATTTTAAATTATCTATTTGCTGTGACACTAAGAAACCCATTATATACTTTATATTGACAATACTTCAAAGTGAAACATACGTCATTACTTGATTCTTCATTAAATCGGATACAATTCAACTACGATACCATCGCCCAAAAGTTAATGGTCCGGGCAAAATTAGCTTGACCAGGGTGGGAATGGAACCCACGGCCTTTGGTTCGCTCGTCCAATTTCTTTCAACTGAGCTACTCGGTCAAAATGGTTCGAATAGTTGCTATTTCGGAATTTGAAACGAATCATTGCGATTTTGCTGCTCTGTCATCTATCCATCTGTCATCTAACGGCTACCATCTCTGACAACATATTTTGTATAAAAAAGTAACATTGTTCGAAGGGTTGCTAAAACATCAAGCAAATTAAAAACAACTTTAGCTTCATCTCCGTGTATAGCATATTTTAATAAAGACAAAACGTCAGTATTTGTTGCAGTGGATTCAAGCGTAGTCGGTATTTCGGCATTTTGAAGCAGGTAAGTATACGATGGACACAATCATGACAAATTATTTGATAATGGTAAGGGACAACTTTTTTCCATGTAAACACTTTATCTCTTCCTCTAGGGATAACTTTTTCTTCCGGCGCGTGCACAATAGCGAGTAGAACAGAACACTTTTAGGTTCACCTTTGCCCTAATTGTCTTTAAAGTCAGCCATGAAAATTTTATCAAGTTAGCTTTAGTACTTTTTGAGGTATCGTGCACGAAAGTAAGGGGAATGAGAAATTTAGTTTACTAAGAAAAGCGACGAATAAGAGTTTTGCATATTATTATTCATAAATTATTTAGGACAATACAATAAATAGAATAAACCAATTGACCCCTTTTGCTTGCTCAGGGTAAAACACTAATTAATATATAGAACTCTCGCGTTCTTTTCATATACTTTATTGCGTTTTTTTTTATATATTTTTATAGAAACAAAAAACTTTACTCGCTTATACTGTTTTCTTGACGAAGTTTGCTATATAACTTTGGTGGTTACTTTGTTATAACATTTTGTCAGCTTACTACAGTTTACTTTCTTATGTAATAGGTTGCTTTAATTGCCATAGCAGCTGATTCCTTTATTAGATCCATGGAAAGAAATTTCATCTCAGTCAACACATCGTTAAGATGAGCCCTCGTATTCTTCGCAGTAAGAATTATTTGAACAGGATGAGAAATGCGCCGGAAGTACCTTGCGAAAAAGTCGATTTCGTATTTCGGATACAGACTTTTCAATCTTTCTTTATATCCTTGCCTCATAGCATTAAACTCTTTGGAACCTTCCTTCGGGAGGTCGAGCTGAGATAGGTAAGATTTGGTTTTCATCTTAATTAGGTATGTGCTGGTTAGATGCGATAAAAAACCCAATGTCAAGATATCAAGTGGGAGCAGGATATACATAAAGAGACTCCAGCTGCATAGCTGATCTGCAAGAAAATGTTATTGTTATTATTATTATTATTATCATTATCATCATTTACATGTATATTGCGCCAGGTTCCATGTGGGAAATACTCACTTCTTTAATGTCTAAGATAATAGGTAAAAGAGTTACTATATTATTCGAAATGACATGACAGGAATTAAGATTTGCGTATAAAGCAGTTAGGAGTATACACTTTTTTCCGGATAGGGACATTTTCGCAGCAGTGCTCTGTTATAACGAAACAAGGTTTGGGCACAATCGACTTTCTATCACAGTTTCTTATTTCACCACTTCCTGTACCGCGAAGAAAAATGTAGTTTCAAGGACTGGTCCCGTCTGGGCCTGTAAATCTTAATCGCCGAACTATAGCCGCAAGTTGTGAAACGTTTCTCAAAAATATTTGTATTTAAATACATGTATATTGTATAATAAATATACGTCGAAACGTCCCTTACTAAAATTCCAACCGACCAGTGAATCATGTTTGTTCGAGTCGCTGACACAGTGTTCCACGGTATTTTAGAAGGTGCATAGGCGATAGGAAAATTAATAAAAATTATTACAAGAAAAAAGAAAACGAAGTACAATATATAAATAATACACCTAGCCTGGCAAGGCCAGTAAATGCCTCATACTGCTTTGAACGATATGCTCCTCGAAATAACCCTCGTAATATAATGACTCAAATCGTGCGAGAAATCACGGTCCTAAGGCGGATTTTTTGCGTAAACTAGATCGATTTTTTGCGATCGCTTTCTTTTGAAATGTGCATGTTCAGTCAACTGCTCATCAAATAAGATCAGTCCCGCTTGATTGTCTATATTCACCTGGCTTCACTGTTTATAAAATAAAGTTATAATCAATTAAGCGGCAATTTTGAATTGTGATTTCAATTTATATGATCATGACAACTCCGAAGCAAAACATTGCCTCGCCAGTCAGATTTTTCCGTTATGAATATTATGACTGGTCTATAATAGAAATTTCAAAATGGGAAATTGCTGTGAAAATGAAGAAAAACGTCTTTTCGATAGAAGAATTCGTTTTGTTTGGAAGAGTTCTTATTACGAGTAATAACGCTGCGCCCGCGGTGCGCCAGCAAACTTCCTCAAAGAAATATTGTAATCACTAAAATTTACACGTGAATGCATGTTTGCTTTAGAATGCAAAGATTGTTACTTCAAAATCGGCACAAATTACTTATCATTCCATTCCCTATAAGTTGAAGTATTATAGGTTGTTGATAGTAACAAGAAATCGACAGAATTTGGCCTAAATCTTGGGTTCTCGCCCGTATTGCAAACACTATGGCCGTAATGACAGTGGATAATAACACTGTATTGGCATAATTCTCAAACTAGATTTTGGAAACATTTAAGGCGTAAGGATTCCTACAACGTGTAGAGGTGAGTTTGAAATTGAAAATGCGGTGAGTAAAAGCTCGTAAGGGTAACTTTGAAAAGTTGTGGCGTGATTACCGATCAGTTCTATTATCATGTGAATTATTAACGAGTGTCTGAAACAATGTTGAATAAATTAGGGGACGAACGATTAACTATATATGACATAAATATATGAAATGTATTGTGCGCATATTGATTCACATGTACCGTTAATAAATCGGACGTAACTACCGATCCGATGAAGTGTACTACCACATGCTCTGCCCCTCTTCAGAGACACTATCCATAGTGAAATATAGACACAGCAGATGGTTTATCTTGCTACTCACCTCGCCAAACTTCAACTTTCTTATTCACGAAATCTTTTGATTTCTCCACCACTGGTCGAATTAACGCCTCTTTCTGCTGAGTAGGCAACATGTTCAGGATAGTTTCAGTGAGGCGGTAAAAATCCCATTTATCTTTGTCATGGTTGCTCACAAGAAAAATCTCGCCTTCACCAATGTTAAGATCTTTTAAATTTTCCAGACAATTGTCCAGAATACCTTTTACTACGTCCTCAATCTTGCGTCTTTTCCGCTTTGTTTCGTTCTCTTCATCCAAGTCCAATTTCGTGCGCACAAGGAGGAAAGATTTTCCCATTGACTTGATTTCTTGCGCTGCCTGGTGTTCTTCTATTCTGAATCTTGTAGCACTTAAAATCAAAAACATATCACACAACTTAAGGATGCCTGAATAGGTTGCTGAGGTGGTTTTTGGTATTTCCACGAGTGTGATTTTTGGATTGTCAGGGTAAGGATAAAAGCCAGCTTCTGATGTTGTCTCAACAACTCCCGTTTTTGCAGCCCGCTCGTCATCGTCATCAAGCCTGGTGAAAAATTGTCATAAATTTATATCATGAGGTATGAATATCCTAGACCTTTTAAATTAAATGTATTCTTTTACATCTTTTTCTCAACACTCATGGCATAGTTTGGTGGTACAAACACAAGCTGTAAGGGATATTAGAATTCATTTATGTTCGAAAAATTACGTAATAGATGTAAAATTTCGAAATACCAAAAATACGTATAATTGGATGCGGTTTTCTGCATAATCGCTTAAATTCGAATTGATGCTCAAATTTGCATCCCTCCCCCCTAACCCAATTAACACATTTCGTTTCCTACGCTATAATTAAGTGTTACAAGCGCAGTGCCTTGCAAGTTTTAATCTTCTAGAAAATGTCCAGTTTTATTTGGTAAGAGGTTATATGTGGAAGCGAATTCGTCCTATATCATAATAACGATCTCAAACAGCAATTCTTTTGGGCATAAAATAACAAGATAATACAGGGTGTATCGAAAAAATGGTAACACAAATGTGACGCGCTATATCTCAACAAATCGTTGATAGATTTCATCGAGTTTTACATCATTGGAAAGCTTAGTTATTTAGCTTTTAAATGCTATGTTTTGTGTGGCATTTCGACAAGAAACCAGTGAGCAGTGCTTCGGCAAAAGTTTTAAGTGAAAATTGCATATTTCCACCGATGGGAATTGCACACGTTTCTTTTGAAATTTAGTCCCAAGAGGTTTAAAACCCTATCATCGCCGATTATTATTAGAATTTGATTTACGTAGTGCGAGTATGCATGACTTAGCACGCGACAAAATAAAAGAAGATGGGTCAATTGACAATTGAACAACGTACATTTATTGTGAGAACCTTGGCAGCTTAGCAAGAACACGAGATGCGTTTAGAGAGAGATTTCCTGAACGACAAGACATAGCAATTAAGACCATCCGATATAACATAAGAAAGTTTGAAACAGCATCGGCACCAGTCATAACCGAAACAAGGGGAATTCTGGCAGAAGAAAGACTGGCAGATCTGCAGAAAACATTGAATTGGTTAGGAATCGGCTCGCAGAACATCCGACTGGTACCAGTGCAAGACGTAACCGTGTGGCCTGCCTACCATCGGCAACTTTTAACAGGATAACCCGCTTGGACCTGAGACAATACCCGTATCGAATGCACGTCCGACACCAGCTACTACCACGCGATTTTCAAAGACGGTTGAATTTTGCAAGGTGGTTGACCGAACGATGCGAGAGAAACGAAAATTTCCTGCGAGATTTTGTCATTGGTGATGAAGCTACATTCTGTATGAATGGTGTGTCAATACTCGAATGTCCGGGAATATGCTCCAGTAGGTCAACCGCCAGAATTCAACTACGATGTGAATTGCAGCCGTCAGAAGGTGACAGTTTGGATAGGTTTGTGTGGAAGTGGTGAGATTATTGGTCCGATTTTCTTCGAAAGGAACGTCACCGGCCTCAATTATTTGCAAATGCTTAACAATGATGTTGTTCCGCAGCTTTTGGAGCATTTTGAAATGCAAGTGGGAGGCGTATTCAGGCATCTTTGGTGGGTGCAAGATGGTGCTCCTGCACATCGTCTCCGTGCTGTTGCGCAACGCCTAAGAGAATTGTTCGGCAATCGAATTGTTGCGTTACATCATGCAGTGGAATGGCCATCTCGTTCTCCCGACCTCACGCCGTGTGACTTCTTCGTGGGGCTATTTGAAAGGCAAAGTTTTTACCAACCCTCCCAACGATATTGATGACCTGCGAGCTCGCATTCATCGGGAAGTCGCTGTGTTGGTCAACGATCAGGCACTCGTCAGAAGGACGGTGCAGAGCATGCGACGGCGTTGTGAACTGTGCATTGAAAGAAACGGAGGACACGTGGAAGGTGTCGGAGCATAAACACTGCATGACCGTAATTATGTAAAACAATCGTGCGTTTTTAACATTGTAAATTGTTGTTATTATTGATTAAAAATGCATATCAATTGTCTCATTAATTCCCATCGGTGGAAATATGCAATTTTCACTTAAAACTTTTGCCGAAGCACTGCTCACTGGTTTCTTGTCGAAATGCCACATAAAACATAGCATTTAAAAGCTAAATAACTAAGCTTTCCAATGATGTAAAACTCGATGAAATCTATCAACGATTTGTTGAGATATAGCGCGTCACATTTGTGTTACCATTTTTTCGATACACCCTGTATAATAATTTTCATCCGACCCGGCTACCATGATCCCTCCTTCCGAATTACCGACTCCCATGGGATGTCTGTGGGACGATTTAAAGGGCTGATAGCTGAGCAAAGACCTATCAAATTCTATGAATGTGGACTGTATAGTCAACGAGTGAAAAATATTGTGGAATCCGAGCATCATAAAGGCTCGGGTTGTTTTGACGTTTCGTTTTCGACGCTGCCTCGATGACTGTTTCGCTCAGATTTTGTATCTACTTCCAATGAAAGCAGTCATGTGTTGCTAACATAATAATAAACAAGTCAATGCTGAAATACTGAAAAACCATAGCCGGATTCAAACATATGCCACTTACAATAGCATGTTGTGTATTTGTGTGCGCGGCAAATTAATTGTTAAAAATTCTAGAATTCACTGATTCCTGATATTCAAGTATATCAGGTGAAATCTGATCAATACCGTTTTGCTGAAATACTCATAAAGTTACTATTAGATTTTGCGAGTTTTATTGTAGTTTCACTAAACTTGGTACATTTGAGTTAGAATTAAAACTTTAAAGACGGCCTTGAGTTTTATTGTAGTTTCACTAAACTTCGTATATTTGAGTTAGAATTAAAACTTCGGCAATTAAAACTAGTCGGCTTTTTCTGTCGATATTGCGACAATGTTATATGTTTTAAACGAGGTATCTCGCCCTTAACTAAGAAATATTGCACTATAAAGCTTTTTTGTAAATTTACATGTATAAACCTACGTCTTGAAAATCGCACTTCTTTAAACAGCGCCGAATTTCTTCCTTTAGGCCACCGGAACGACTAAATCTGTCCTTAATATCAAGCGAGTGCAGGCTGATACTCATTATATATATGTTTTATTTCCGACTCTATGGAAGAGGTTCGCTGATATTATCGACCAATCTAGCTAGGCATCCAACTTTGTGGAATTTCGCACCGCAATATTATAAATTATATATATAGTCTAGACCAGCCGATATATGAATATTATATATTGCATATTGTACTTAATTTCTCATTGCACTGTTGTCCTGTACGCGAGATATCGAAAGTGAAAATTTTAAGTGTATCTTGTTTGCCCCCCTGTGTTGAAATAAGTTATAATCTTGGTACTTGATATAACGTTAACAATTCAGTGTTCTTACAAATTTTCGCTATTATCAAAGACATACAACCGTAAATGCTAAACAGTGACCGTCGATGCTTGCCGGATTTGTTTTCAGACGACAACGTATTTGTGGACTATTCAGTTTCGGCTAAATGATCTTTAAGAAACTTCGTTTCCGCTTTAAAGGGACAATCTAATACAAATGTTTATTATCATTTATCATACCCTCTAAGACCGTTAATAAGGCTCGATTTCCCGACGCCAAACGTTCCTGTGATGCCAATTTTAATTTCTTTCTCTCGCCATTTCTTGATATTTTCTTTTATTAAATATTGCGCTTTAACAACGCCAATCTCATCGGGAAGAGGTTCAGGTTGCCCTTCAAATAAGCTCATAACGAACTTGAGCGTTGTATAATTTCAATTAGCGTGCTTGTGAGAACAAAACTGCCCGAGCGTATCAACTACAACAAAGTAGAAAAATATGCAAATATTTGAGGGATTTTAAATGATATCAAGGATAGTAGTAGATAGGCTATCACTGATTGTTTAAAATTTATTGGTTAGCATCCGCGGACTTTGAAACATTTTTCGAAAGAAAATCGATTAAAATTAGGCCAGTGACATTACTGTCGGCCTGGTGCAAGCTCCTTTAAAATATATTTAATAAGTTCTTTCGTATCCGACACGTGACCTAAAGATTTGTTAAATTAGGACACTGGCTTCCAAGTCTCATCGACCTTGATTACCTTTTTTCTAGTCTCATGTTCGATTTTTAGGAAATATAGGTATTCCTAGAGACCATCCAGAAGAAAAGTTTCATTTATGTATAAAATGAATACTATGAAAATAAATACTATGAAAATAAATACTAATACTGAAAATAAATATGTTCAGATCTAAAACTGGCCCCCAGATAATAACTTAATTAATAACTTGACTGATTTGATGACAAGCATTTGTTGTATGCAACTAGATTAGCCGTTGACATGTTTGAATTGTCTTGTGTTGCCTTCATGAACTGAACATTGCAACTTTGATTTCATGCCCTGACGATTGCAAAGGCTTCACGTAATTTGCAATGCAATTCTACTTTTGAGGGGTTTAATTTTGGCAAATAGTAAACTTTTGTATATTGCATTTCATTTCATTTCATTTCAGGGATTTTTTCTTACACTCGTTGTGTAGTATCTTCAAACTGCAAAAAGACGTAATACCAGATCTGGGCCACAAAATAGAATTATTTATCATAGTTGTTTTGCATGAAAAAATCCTTTAAATTTAAAGCGTGTCGTCGAGATCCCGCATCGTAAATCTCATGGTCCCCACTGATAGCCCAGCGCTGTTTCTTCAAAAACTGGTTGGTTCGGTATTGACAGTTATCATCTTACCGAGAGGGCGCTGATTCAAATTTTGTCAGTGTGAAAAATTTAGGAGTATGCATTGGTGGATGGGCCTCTACAGATTGTGCTTTAGCAACTTTTGAGCAACTTTTTAAAATTTGTCAGAATATTTTCGATCGATGCAAGATATATAAAGATATACTAGATATATAAAATTCAGCCTCGTACCCAGGCGCTTTAATAGTAAAAAATAATGTTGCATTCAGTTATTGTATGGAGGTCAGCTAAAAAAAACGCGAGCGCGCGGGGGTGCTTGGGGTGCTTTTGACAAATTTAGCGCCTGGCAGAGAATGAATTCAACATAGAACAATCAAATGAATTATACAATATAATACAATACATACAATACAATATAATTATATACTATAATTACTTGAATTAGATCCAGGTTTTTACAGATACACCGGTTTTTAAAAATGCTATAAGTTGATTAATATTGAACATTTCATGTTACAAATTATATCCAATAAGTATCACTTATGGAATCAATTTACTTTTAAACTCAAGTTGTTGCCATATCATGTTGAATACATCCTCGGATTATTAAACCTGTAAACAAAGGAATATAAGTTTATCTTTTATGTTATGGACAGAAACCTCTTAATATGTTGAAATGCGCTCGCTTTTCCCAATAGTAAATATGTAAATACGGTAGGCGATTATTCGAGTACTCTACGATATAGTCACTCCAACGGAAAATATTTAAATAAAAGTACCTTCAGATGATTGTTCGCCAAAGGAAACGTTCATAATACTTGGCTAGCCCGTCAAAAGTCGATCCAGTAAAAAAATCATAAATAATGAAAATAAAAACTGCAAAATACAAGCGTGTTCCAGAAATCGGTCACGATTTGCCAGAAATCGGTCATTTTCTGCCAGCCGCTTCCTCGCCAAAACAAACCTCCCCAAGCACCCTTGCGCGCTTGCTTTTTTCAGCTCAACTCTATATAAGACCTGATTGCAACGTTATATATTTTACTATTAAAGCGCCTGGGTACGAGGCTGTATAAAATTTATCAGATTTATAATGGACCGTTTCTATAACTAAGTGACAACTTCAAACAACAAGGAAGTGACAGAAATAATATTTAACTATCTTAGGTATACAAAAAGTGGAGATGATTTTTCTTTTTCTACTATATACTGTTTGCTACTTGCGTAATCATCATGCATGATTAGAAATCAGGCTAAGTAAATTAGCAGTTTATAACTATCGGTAAAAATTATTTTCGCATCAAATTGCATTGTCTGCAAGTGCGCTTAAAGTTTCGTCTATAGTTTTTCTTTTCAAGCTTGGTATATGCCCTTTCTAACGGTTTTATCAACATGTTCCAGCACAGCCTTTCCCATTTCATCCAAGACATTGTTCAGTGCACGACACAGGAACGTGTAGAGTTTTTCCTCTGAATTGTAGCCACAATGATCGAACTCTCTTAGCCAGTGTTCCACGTTAGAATCAGGTTTTAAGTAAAATTTTTCGATGGCTTCCCGACCTCCAGGTTTCTCTGGAAATCCCAGTCCAGCTCTATAGAATTTCACTTCTTCAATAATGAGGCTATAGTGCGCAGAGGCAAAGGAACTTAATACTTGTTTTGCTGCAATTTTCTTTATTCGATCTATAAAAGAATGTGTTATCTACATATTCTACAAAATAGAATGTATAAATGAGTCAATTTTAAATTTAAATTTAAAAGCACATTTAGAGATCTTTTGAAGGACATCAAGCTTTTCTGTCAGCTACATCGCGTTGGGGAACACACTTACTTTTGTCCTTTCAAACTTCTAAATTTAATGCGATGGACATTTGCCGATCAATGTCCGCCCGCAATGAGCAGAAACGTGTACTATAAGGTAACTAATATTAGTAATATGCTAGGATAGTGGAATATACATATCCTTCTCCATGGGATGACGGGATGACGTGCATGCTTGGCAGTATGTTAGCCTACATTTCTGGCCATGTCAATACTCGAGACAACGCACCTTTAAGATTTTCAACTTTTTGCTTCAAAATGTTTTCAGAAAACGCAACGATAGGCAGAAGAAAGACCTCACGCACACGGGTGGGTAGTCGATCTTTGATTGCTGTTCGCAAGGCAGCGAAATCCCATTTGCCTGGACGGTGGTTACTGATCAAAAAAATATCGTCGTCATCAAGTGGTGCCTTCGCTGATGTTAAGCTATCAGAACAATCTCTCCTAATACTTTCCAGTGTAGTTTCTTCTGGTATTCTTCTTCGTTCTTCGTTTACTTTGATGTCGTTGTCAATTTTCGTGCGAGTTAAAAAGAAAGGCTTTTTAATTGATTTAAGTTTTTCCGCTAAAGCTTCAGTGACCTTTTCAAACCGTTCCGAGGTCATAATGATACATGCGTCATATTCCTGAATTTTGATATCTCTGCAGAAGGCTTCAACATCTGAGATATCATTCGAACCGATACCTGGACAATCGGCAAGGATTATATTGGGAATATTTGGATGGGAATACTTAACTGGAGACTTCGTGGTTTCGACGACATCCGTTTTTGCTGCATTCTCGTCGTCATCCTCGACTCTGTGGAAAAAAGAAAATAATTGACTTCATCACATAGACGAGTTATCGCTTCGAGAAAATGTCGACTGTCCGAATTACCACAGTATAGGGAGTAATTTTTGAAAACCTAAAGGGAAAGCCAATTCGATGTTTCTTATCCATGACAATTTCTAAACTATTTTATTAGATAAATCCGTATATTCTCCCTATACTATGGAATTGTGTTACATGTACAATATTCATGCTATGGAATTTCAAAACCTTTCTGATATATTAAATAGCATCGGTTAAAAGATTGCGATAAAAAAACCCTCTTTAATTGGCTAGAATTACAATAGAAGAATTAAGTAGAAACTAATTTAATAGAATTACTATATTATTATTATTACCCTCTAATGGCGTTTATGAAACTTGATTTCCCGCAACCATTTTTCCCGACAACGGCTACGGATATTTTAACTTCTTTCCACTGATCAAGGTCTTCAATCAGTTTCTCTGCAGCCTCAATCGCGTTGTCCTTGAAAGCATCGGAAAATTTGGCCATGCTCTTCGCAAAGAAATTTTCCCATATCCCTGAGATAAAAAAGAAGCGGTATTTGAATTGAGCTCTTGAGCGATCAATAATAATATTACTGCGGTTATTATTAGCGTGCTAAGATTACTGCATACTGATTGGTCGGGAAGTTTTTTCCATGAAAACTAAACCTATGGAGGAACTACAAAAGGCCAGATGATAACGATAAGCAAAAATACTGCCAAAAATACACAATAATGCATGGGTAAAAATCTGGAGGTGTATTTTTACATGAAACTATCGCGTTTGTTTTGAAAATTACGCCTGAAAAGTTCGCCATGAGAGGCTATCAACGAAAATTGTGCGATTTTATAATGCTAATAATAAACAATCTCTTTCAGTTTTGCTAAAATTTTCAAACATCACTCGTACTATTAATCCCGAATTAATTGTACTCGCCATTCCATGATTAGCTATATTTATCAATAAGTAAATTAGCTTGTAGGTATACCACGTAAGAATTTAATACTGCAAAGCTTTTGGTCCCTTAACCCGAGTCTTCATCAGTGCAATTAAATATTAAATTATTACTTTGAAAAGACTAGAGTTTAATTAAATTTTTTAAAGTATATATTCATAAAAAATCATAAACTAATCATCATTCATTATTATCATTATCATACTAGAAATACATGCATGCAGCAACCCCTCGCTATTTCAAACCAAGTACACAATTTCCTGAGTTAACCTGACCTAAACTTATATTATGAAATGACACAAAACTCAAATCAGTCTTAAAGTTTCCATCATTCAATACAAAAATAATCACAAAGCTAGTGTAAACATTGCTCGTTCAATTTTGCTGCATTATACCATGCCAGCAATTAAGTAACGGTTTAAAATCGAAGTTTCAAACGATTAAAACAGTACAAAATCTTCACAGACAGAGAAAAAACTTCAAATGTTATTTTATTCTGTAATTGCAGTCAACGCCGACGGCTAAAAGTTTCAGTATACTTTATAAATATAGTGTGTATTTTTGATACCAAAATTCAAATTACACTTTCAAAAACACTTTTTGAAGTTAAAGCAAAGGTGTAATAGCCCTTCACAGGTTTATGCGTTTGCAGAAAAAGCTGAAAATTTAACAAATGAACGGCATACAAAGCTGAAAAGTATACAAATACGGCTCATTCTTACCGCGAAACAAGTACGAGATAAACAAAGTAAACACGTACCCTTTGTCTTTGAAAACATTTACAAGCTTGCAGATTATGAATTATTCCTCTTAAACGGCTTTGTTTTGACTGTATCTACGTTCATCTTTGCTATCTGTCATGCTTCATATATCTTGTTTCTTCTCGTTTTACTTTCTTTGCACAAAGTTTATGAAACGCTTTTACAAAAATGTTTACGAAATGACAGTTAAATTGCTGACGTTCTCATTGAATTACAAACTTTCTGTCTTAGCCAATCAGAACGTTCGTTGATTACCAGTCTACACTCGTTCGCATTTCACGCATGCGCACAAGTACCATGACCATTAAACGTCCACGGTCCACGGTCCACGACATAGAATTTGAGCAACTTTGGATTCCGCTATGTTCTGTCACAATACCCGGGTGTAATAAATCTCCCAGCGGAATTAGTACCCTCGCACGGCGCTTCGCGCCGGCTCGGGGATTATATTTTCAAAAAAAAGTTTTAGCTAATTAATCTTAAAAAAATATTTTTTTAAGAATAAACATTTCAACTTTTACAAACTTTTCACAAACTTTCAATGTCTCGTCATTTGTGTGACGTCAGAACGTGAAAGACTATGAGTGACGTCACAACCTAGTACGTAAGAATTCGTCCATGCGAGCACGTCATGACGTATGTGATGACGTCAATCGGTAGACTTAACCATTTCACAAATGGCTATATAGTAACTAATCCAAACCTGTAAATTCTTTAACGAATAGAAAGTTGCGTTTTAACTTAAAACTATTCGAAAAGGAACTATGCATTACTTATTGTAGCAAGCAAGGCCATCTCGAGGAAACCTACCTTTTTCAGAAACCGGCAAGATTCTCTCAACAGCGTGTATTAATTTAAGGAACTCCCACTCGTCTGGACGATAGTTACTGATAAGGAATATCTGTTCCACCTCCGTTTCTCTGAATACGTAGTTCCTGATCATCACAGCTATTTCATTGAAATGCTCTTTATCTTTTTCCAACGTGTATTCGATATCAATTTTTGTACGAACAATAAAAATATCTTTTTTAGCATTTTTCGCTTTTTTTATCATATCGAGATCAAGGCTGGTGACTCTGAGTGAGATAAAAATCAGAAATATTCCAAACTTCTCCAATTTGAAATTATTCCAATACGTTTCAACTCTGGGATAGTTTCGTGTGCCATAACCAGGAAAATCGTAGAAGCTTATTAGAGGATATTTTGGATGAATGTATTCCTTTTGCTCTCTCTTCTCCTCAACAATATCGACCCTTGCTGCTTGCCTGTCTTCACTGTTGATGCTATATACACAGAAAAAATTGACATATAGCACATGACGATGCATGTGGATGAATTGTCGCTTTATTAATTTCGCTATCTGATTTAAGTGAAGTAAAATTTTATTTGGTAAATAGTGGATATTTATTTCCCAGTTTCGTAAATTATCTATAGTCTATATAAAACTTTCGGAATTCTGACAAATTTGTTTTTGTCCGACATTTTTCATCTCAAAGGGGCGATCATAAGTTATGAAGGATGAACCCTATGTTTTAGCGAAAACTTTCTGTGAAATGAAAGTGTATTTTTTGTGCATTTTTCATTCCGTAGTAAGTGTCGAAAATTTCCTTTTTAAGTTCACAAAAATATTGTTCGAGGAATCTCCGCGTTACTATAAATTTTTCAAACCTTTGCTTCTCGTGGTTTGATTGGTTAAATTTGTGTACCAATTTTGTAGCTATAAAGATTTTGAACCCAGGAGGGTTATACCGAGTGAGGCAGTTTTGTTTTGGAATGCATAGAAACAATTCAGATCTGAATATTGCAATCTATGTACGCGACTTTATTTAACCGGTATAAATTTATTCATCATAGAGCGACTGTAGCTGGTGCTAGACAATAGCATGCACTTTGTATACAACCATGTTTTAACATACAATTGCTTTTTCAATTCTTTTTATACGAACGATTATATACAAATAAATGAATCCAAAATATACAGCGCACATGCAACGTGCAGTTTATCCACTTATATACCATATTATATAACAATATTTTTCCAAGATTCTTGTTTAGAAATTATTAAAGTATTAAATGTCAAACATCATGCATGCAGTTGTCATTTTTTTTCACTTGAGGAACAGGTACGTTGTATCGTTGGAATTAGCCTGTGTACTGCTTAATTTTTCTTGCATGAGTTACTTATTAACATAATTGAATAGTGACTATATAATTATCACGGTTGATAAAATTTGAGTACTTTTCAATATGATTTTTCCAAATTCACATGTAACCAGAAAACTTTTTTCCTTTAGATATAAAATGTACTTTGTTAAAGAGGAAAATGTAGCGTATTAAAGGGAATTCTATTATGCTTGGGTGTTCTGATGAAACAATTATGCGTATATGAGTATAATTATGCTTCGTCAACGGGTCTTTATATGAGCAAATTAGAATAAACTTCCTTTCCCTAAATGTAAATGTAAATACATACTCTATTCAATGGGATTGTAGTTCTGCGTACCGTCTTCGTTTTCTCTTAACCCTTTACCCTTTACTTTATGAACTTTATGTACTTTATATATATGAAAATATATTTCAATTTATTTTACCGCCCCTCATGGAAACCAATTAACTCACGGCTGTTGAGACTAGCGTGCATGAATAAATAAAGTATGTGTGTATGTATGTGTAACACAGAGAAGGGAAATGTTTGTGATGAGGTTTGAAGATCAGGTAGCAGAAGAGACAACCCGTTCCTTAAGTTTCAGGTTGGTTTACATTGAGACGAATGTCCGGCGTCTGAGACATCCAGAGGGCGCCGAAACATGCCATAATTAGAAAGCCTCTGCATGTATTCAGGCGTCATGCAGCCAACAATTATCGACTGATTTTTGTTTGTTCAATCCATATCGTTGCCAAGATTCTGACAAAACCGATTCTCCCAAATTCAGTGTCAAATTTTCGGTAGGTGATAGCGTTAAATGCCCTACAATTCCGCCGAAATATTCGCTACTGTTCATGTGTGTACAAAAAAAAATTGAAAAGCTCCCAATTATAAAAGCTAGTAATACTTTATAAGCATCATATCATCTGCCTGTGCAATAGGCGACAAACCTCAAACATCTGACATCCTTTACTAAAATACATGCATGACTGTACGCTGGTTTTCAAGATTGGAGCAAATAAGATATGCGGGACTTGACGGCGTATACATAAGGAAAAAGAATATAGATCTCGCCTCACTCGGCTTGCATGTATATAAGCTGTATTAATTATATCAACCCTGGTTCTAAGGTTCTTTTTACGTTTGTACAACCTCCTTTAATATTACAATATCATTCAAATGAGGCATTTTTAAGATGCAATGTTAAAACAGTTTTCCCTTTTGTATGAATAAACATTGTTGATTTAAAACAGACTGACACTAATATTGATTGGGACCATATATAAGTATATAGCACGGCTTTTGAGACAATTTATAACACGCGTGTAAAATCTTAAAGCGACAATTGAAATGAAATAAGTTTTAGCTAAACGCAATTTTGCGCGATAATGAACTTTTCTTTATTCGCTTAACATACTTATTATAAGCAGAAGGAGAAAGCAGCGATGTTCTACCTGTGTATCCTATGAGCTGAGTTGAGAACAGACGCAACGTTTTTTAAGAAAAGAGTAAATTAAATAAATTGCTTATACCTTCTCACGGCGTTTACAAATGCGGATTTCCCGGAGCCACTTGATCCGACTAAGGCAAATTTTGTTATTTTGGATGTCTCTTCCTTAGACTCTGATGCACCCATTTTCCTCCTGTTGGTACAAGATTGCTTTCGTTTCACAAGAATTCGCTAACGTTTATTCAAAAGCTGATTGCCGACGCTTAACAACGACATTAATAATTCTCATTCTAATGATTTCCTGTAAAGACACATTTGCTATTGTTTATCCAAAAGCAGTATTTTATTGGACAGTTAAATTTGTAATCTTTCACTTTGTATAGGGCCCTTTATTTCTTTATTCCTTTAGGGCCCATCATATATTACTATGACCTAGATTGAAATATTACTTGCATGTAGTGGCATATTCTCAAAAATTCAAAAAGCTCTCATATGCACTAACATTCATACATACTCATTGAGTATAGGTTCAAAATCTCCTTATAATTATTTAATGAAGGTATCATCAGACAGTTGAAAGCTTGAAAGACGAATATTAATTTTATGCATGCAAATCTTTCCATTAGGCTCTGTGCTTATTCATGAGCGTCGTTTCTGAGTATTTCTTAAAACGGCTGTTTTGGCTCGTAGTTTGAAACATTGATAGGTGTACGGGTACCATTTTCGCCGTGCCGTATCCGATAAATTGGGTGTGATGTAAACAGGACTTAACAATTGCTTGGCGAAGGCGAGGCGAATAAGAAACGTCTTGAACGATAAATTAATATTTAAATTTTTACCTTCATATTGCATTATATTTTTACCTTTATATTTTCAACCATCACTATCTCCGGTTACACAAAAACCTATATTTTCAACTTTTTATCTCCACGTAATTATTACCACGTAATTTTTCCGAAGTGTACACATCATGCACACGCCTTCACACTTGCTGGACTTATGGCTGCCTGTTGATTTCGTTTTAGTTGTAATCTAAATTATTTAATTTAAATTACAAAATTGATTTTCAAATGAATTTTCACCTCCGCAAATGCCAAGACATTTAATAAAATAGGGCAGAGTCCTCTGTACGTGGCAGAGGGAAAGCAGTGACGTAATGACAAATGACGAATATCACGCAGTTAACACTTGCCAGCAAGATGGCTTCCTTTGTACATTTTTAGACAGGTTTGTCCAAGGTATTGTCAATAAGGTCGTATTTTCACGGTTTTATTTCTGAATAAGAAGATAAACGAAAAGACATTGAACCATGCAAGGCCGCTAATAAGAACTGCTAATCAGTTCCCGGAATTAAATTTCATTCATCATTCATCGTGTCATGATGAATTGTGATGAACTGAATGTTTTTTTGCAGACTTGTACTCCCACATACGCCCACATTAGCCTGTTTCACCGCCCTCTCTATATAAGCGCCTTGTTTCGTACCACGTAAGGTACGCCAGGCATAAGTTTGTTTCAAAACGGTTTTGTCCGAGTGGTAACTATGGATGGTATTGTTTTCGTCCTTGCTTGACTTTTTTTTCTAATGGATTTCAGTATGAAAATAATAAATTTTATCACTTTAATATTAATTCACATGCGAGTGATATATAAGGTTTTTCAATTTCAAAGGTTTAATTGAATAGAAAAACTGAGGGCAAAATTTAATTTAAGCACTTTGAAGTATTCTAGACAAGACGCCTGTTCTGGCGTTAACTTCGGCGTGCCGCGCACGTGCCAGTCTTTAATATGAAGCTTCTGAACATAAACAATACAGTTCATACTCATTTAGATGCCTTGCGAACCTAAATGTTGTTCGATCGCAACATTCAGAAGCACGTCGTGCTTTAAAAAGTATAGAAGTTCAATTGTTTAAAAATGCAAATAAACTGCATGATACGTTCACTTTGTCTTACACTTTGGAATTCGTGCTTATATTAAACCTTCTATCCCTGCTGTGCAAACTGCGACATGTCAACGCGCCCATTCACGACCACATCTTGTTAAACGGCGAAATAGCAGCGATATTATTAAAATAGGAGCAGAATCTACATGTATTAATATTCAAAAGAACGGTTTATTCCTCTTGGAGGAATTGCCGTATCATTCGAGCGAATTCAACTCGCGCATCGGAAAATCAGCCAAAGCTGTGCGCCACAACTCTTGGGAGACAAAACTGTGACGTAGTCACATACACATTTCAAGTACTAGTATATTTCGCGCCAAAACACACTTGCGAAGACGAAAAAAAAAGAAAAAAACAAACAAAAAAAAACTAAGTTGAATTTTCAACTAATAAGAAAGCAGCTACTTTATTCGTTTGTGATTATAACTACAAAATCATCAGTGACGATTGCAAGATGTGAAAATTAGGTTTAATCTTTACCTCCTGCGTGCAATAAGTTTAAGTATAAAATGTAGCTGTAGCGAATGTTGCAGGAAATTGTTCGTTCGAGTGCAATTATGTGCGACGATTATATTTATATCTTTTTATGTCTTCGGTAATGACATTTATATTCACTATTTGTGCAATTTTCAGCCGTTTTCTTGTTGAATTTCGCTAGATATAGAACTGGCAGTTATTGATGGTTTTATTTTATGTAGTGAGTTTATTCCGCATTACTTTCTTCCTCAGTACTCTGCTCTATCCCAATGGCAGCTTCATCCAGCATTTTCAGTGAAATATTTTCCATATCCGTCAAAATTTGGTTTAGAGAACCAATGGTATGCTTCCAAGCACAGCATATGCAACAAGTGCACTTTTCCTTTTGTATTGTGTAGAATTCTCTTATTTTTGTTATGAATTCTTTTTTCATTTTTCTAAATTCTTCAGAATCATCCTCTGGAAGTCCAAGCTGAGATCGATAAAGTTTGATCTTCTTCTTAATTTGACACTTGCTGATTGAATGCGAAATAAGTCCGCAAGCAATAATATCAGGTAGAAATAAGCTAATAAAAGTAAGCTTCACCTTCCATAGTCGACCTGCAAGAAAATATGACAAATATAATGGACCTTTTGCATTATAGGCAACTTTTTTATCTATGCGAGATAATCCAATCAAATCACCATAGCTGAAAAGAGCGTACCAAAATTAGTAAAAATGCAAAGTTTGGTTGCGAAATGTCGTAATAATACGGAAAATATGGCCTTGCAAAGTTTGCAAATTTGTATACTTTAGTCAAACGCACGGAAATTGCTACCATTTTTGGCCCGAATGTGGTAGCAATTTCCGTGCGTTAAACTAAAGTATACAAATTTGCAAACTTTGCAAAGCCATATTTTCGGCATCTTATGACATTTCGCAACCAAACTTTGCATTTCTACTAATTTCAGTACGCTCTTTTCAGCTGTGGTGATTTCATTGGATTATCTTGCATAGATAAAAAATGTCTATAATGCAAAAGGTCCATTAACATCAACACAGGCAAAGACAAAAACTTTCACACGCCTTGGACATTTTTGTATTTTTAATTTACCAATGGACGACTTGCGCTTTAGATTAACTTTTGATTGAAGTAATAAGAAGAAAATAAGTCACCACATCTAGTAAGACCGTACTTGAGTTAGTGCAAATGCGAAGTTTCGCAGTGAAATTTTGTAAAATGTGGAAAATGTAGCCATGCGAAGTTGGCATATTTTGTATACTTTTGTGTTACGTGCGGAAATGTGAAACTAAATTATAGTTAGCTACAAACTTCCTGCCGTAATACAAAAGTATACAGAAATCGACAACATCGCATGGCTATATTTTTCGTAATTTACAACAATTCGCAGCCAAACTTGGTAGTTTTATTAATCTTAGTAAGCTCTTTCAGAAAATTTCCTTTTTACCGCTGAGATGGGATATTAGCCTAAAGCGCAAATCGTCCATTTTTGGAATAATATTTTCCCCCAGATTTTTCCCACACGCCTGCATATATCTTTTGGAAGTCCTAGAAATGTTCAAAAAAACTTAGATTTAATACAGTACTTTCCAGAAATAACCTAACAAAAACCGCGGTTAACCTATAGGTCAATTAAATCTCGGGCTGATCGCGGTTGAACCGAGGTCAAACCGCGATCGAACCGCGGTGAGACAGAGGTTAAACTTCGGACTAACTCGGTTTCACAGACATTTCCTAAGATGTTTTCGATATGATTATTGTGTTGTCTTTCTCAGCTGTTCATAACAAAAATCACGCTCGCATTTTTTTTCCCTTCCGGTCATCTGCGGTTTCTGTCGGTCAACCGCAATCAAAGTGCGACCGAACCGCAACCTAACCGCAGCCGAACCGCAACCAAGCCCTACCACTAATATACTTTGAACAACACTGTCACCATGCAAACAAGAATATTGTACAAATATTGTTAGCGTTTTAGATATCTTATTTTACACAGTTAATATTAGTTTTTGCGTCCTTTGTCATGAATCCTATTCCCTTCGAAGGCTACATTATCTTACAGTTAAAAGCTCGTAAGAAATAAGAACTATTTAAGTCAAAAATAACGCCTTATCTTTTAACTAAATATGTTTGGCTGCTATATGGCTACATATCCTTAATAGCTATTGAACAATAATCAAAATACCTAATATTTATATATAAATGATGATTATATACCTCAGTTTACGGCATGTACATGCATCGTGACAATAACATGTCGTGTGAACATAATTAAATAATTTAGATACTTGACAATAGCATCCTTTGTTTATCACAATAGTTATATATTATGAACAATTTTTAAACGAAATGTTGATTTTTACACATGCCATGCCTTATTCGCTTAACAGGTCTTTTATAACAAGAAATGCTGGCGATATACAACGTCTTTATGCAATACGGATGTTGAAAGCAAGTTCAGTATATTCGGCCGACATACACTTTTGTGCGACGAAAGGGAAAATATATTGCTTACCCTCTCACAGCGTTGACAAAGGCAGATTTTCCACAGCCACTTGACCCAACTAAGGCAAAATTGACATTACTTATATATTTGCCTTCGGATGTTGCCCTTTTGGACGGTAAATTACCCATTTAACTTGAATTTATACCCGTCTACAATATATATCTGCTTCCGTTTCAATAGTTCGTTCAAAGCGGTTGCCAACTGTACTGACCTTCAAACTTATAATTCTTATGCTAATCAGTTCCAAGAAAACCCTCTCTCGCTTTGAATGGCAGAAGAAAAATGTAGCTATAATAGATCGTTTGCATTAATTTTGAACTTCAGGGCCCGTTGTTCAAAAGCCGGTTAACGCTAACCTATATAGATGGTTATAAATTTTAAACCTCTTTAGAGTTGCGCCGCAGAAAGCCCGCTTTCGTTAACCCTGACTTAAAATTGATAAAAAAATTTAACCTATATACATATATAGCATGCATGTGATTTTAGCATGCATGTGATTCATGCATGAGGGTTAAACCTCGGCCTAACTCGGTCTGACGTTAATTTCTTAAGAATTTTTCTATTTGGTTATTGTGTTGTCGTTCTCAGCTGTTCGTAACATTTCGTTCGGAAGCGAACGGCCGCTGGGAAGGTATTTTTCCCCTTGCGGACATCTGCGGTTTCTATCGGTTGACCGGAACCGAAGTGCGAACGCAGTGTTAGGTTTATTTCTGGACAGTACTGTATTCATAATCAAGAACATCAAATCATAAAAGGTATCGAAAAACATTAATCTTTAGAAAATCCAAAGATTTACTCAACATAGTAGAAACTATGTGTAATATACATAACTGCTATTTATAGATAATTAAGCTTGGACAATAGAATGGGAACTGATTGACAGTTAGAGACAGACAATAATATAGAAAGGGTATGAGAGCGAGAAAAGTAAGAGCACATGAAAAGTAATATATATAATATAGAGAAACAAAATATACAGTTATACAAATCGGAGCAAGGAGTGAGATCATTATATTGGCGACGAGAATGGCTGAAGGACAAGCCGAGCCACAAGAAAATATCACAGTAAATACGCAATCGGTGTCACTACAATCATTGCCAGAGTTTAACCCAGACGCTGATGTTGGCGAAAGCTTAGGCACGCGCTGGAACATTTGGATCCAAGATTTCGAGATGTTCATCCTCGCTAGTGGGATTACGGATGAGAAAAGGAAACGCGCATTGCTATTATATCAAGCTGGCAAACGGGTTCGCGAGATATTTAGACAAATACCTGATACGGGAGACGCAACTGATTACGAAGCCGCGAAAACAAAGCTTCACGAATACTTCCAACCGCAAGAAAATCGCCGATACGCAGTTTACCGCTTTAGACAAGCGAAACAAGAACCGAACGAAACCCTTGATCAATTCCATACACGATTACGGACGTTAGCACAGACTTGCTCTTTCCACAACGCAGATTTTGAAATCGAACAACAAATTATTACGGCTGGGTCATCTTCACGGATTCGGAAAAAGCCATTAAGAGACCCAACATACGATCTGAAGTCTATACTCATTGATGGTCGCCGTGCCGAGATGAGTACATTTCAAGCGCGAGACATCGAATCAAAAGACACAAATACAGATCGTGTTAACAAAGTATCATCGAAAACAACATCGAAAACGTGTCACAATTGCGGTGGTACGTATCCTCATGAAGGACAATGCCCAGCTAAAGGTAAAGAATGTCGGAAATGTCAAAAGCTCAACCATTTTGCTCGAGTGTGTCGAGGAAAGATGCAACGTCAGACAAAAGCTTTTCAACATGAAATGAAACCGAAACAGAAATACAAACGACCACTAAATCCACTAAATGAAGTTCAGAGCGAGACGGACAGTTCTGACAACGAATATTTATACACAGTTTCTAATGACAAGACCCCCAAAGTCAATGTTAGAGTATGCGGATGATCGTTAAAAGCTACCGTAGACACAGGCGCAACGATCAATGTCATCGACCGAGGTACATATGAGAAAATACCAGGAATAGAATTAAAGAAAACGAACATAAAAGCGTTTGCGTATACTGCTAGCAAGCCAGTAAAGTTCATTGGCAAGTTTGAGGAAGCTATTGAGACTCGCCGTCGAGTTGCAGTGGCAACTTTTTATGTCGCAGAAACGACAGACAGCGGAAATCTAATATCAGCAACAACGGCAGAAGAACTTGGCCTGGTAAGTTTTCATCTTAACAAAGTAACTGAAACAAAAGATCGTGAACTCCAAAATATTCTAAACAAACATTCAAAAGTTTTCCACGGGTTGGGTAAACTCAAGCAAGAGAAAATCAAATTAAACGTTGATAAAACAACAACACCCCGAGCACAGTCACAACGCCGAATTCCATATCACATACGTCAGAAGGTCCAGAACGCGATAGAACAACTAGAGAAAGACGATATTATTGAACGGGTACCAGAAAACCAACCTACACCTTGGGTATCGCCAATTGTAGCAGTACCGAAAAAGAACGGGGACGTTCGTATATGCGTCGATATGCGCGCTGCCAACGAAGCTATAAAACGGGTACGACACCCTATTCCAACAGTTGAGGACATCAGCTTTGAGTTAAATGGAGCAACGTGTTTTTCCAAATTAGACCTTACACAGGCCTATCATCAGCTAGAACTACACGAGGACAGTCGTTACATTACTACATTCAGTACACTCATCGGTCTTTTCAGATACAAAAGGCTGAACTATGGCACCAATGCAGCTGCTGAGATTTTCCAGTACACTTTACAAACCCAATTGCAAGGATTAGTCGGAGTAAAGAATATAGCTGATGACATTTTAGTATATGGCAAAACACAGAAAGAACATAACACAAACTTGAATAAATGTCTAAAACGAATCTCCGACAAAGGACTACGCTTGAATCAAGCTAAGTGTAGCTTCTTAAATGACAAACTGGAATTTTTCGGACAAGTATTTTCCAAAGACGGCAGCAAACCTGACCCCACACACTAAAAACAGGTGTGTAGAATTACACACTAAGGTGTGTTTGACTACACACCAAGGTGTGCTCAATTGCACGCCATGGTGTGTAATTT